CCGCCACCAAAAGCGGGTCCCTGAGCCAGAGGCGGGCAGCCGAGAGGAACCTGAAGCCCAGGGAAGTGCCAGGAAGAAGAGGGCCCCAGGATTTCGCAGCTTGGACCCTGAGCTTATGGAGGGTGGTCGGCGGGATCCCCAATATGTGGGACCCCCACGCAGCTTTAGCCAGCGCTCCCACACGAAAAACTCTACTATGCCTTTCACTTTGCCCCAGTTGACGTAGGGCGCATGCGGTGCTGCGGGCAGCGTCACATCTCGAAGCCTGCGTGCAGACCCGCCTCGCCCTGCCGTCCAGCGAGTCGCCGCCGAGGTCACGGTGGGCGATGACAAGCTTGTCGTCCGATAGCCTCCACCTGGGGTCCTGTACCAATGCAGGCAGCTGAGATTGATCGGACATCATGAATCTAGTCTTTTCCCAATTGATCGGCAACTTCCTCGAGTCCAGCTCAGCGGTGACGATCTCGAAACTCTTGACCGTGTTCTCAACCACCGTCCTGGGGCCTCCGATGGTATGCGTCGTCAAATCATCGACCACATTCAGCGCGCGACACGGAGGCGTCTCCTCAGCCAGGCGCCTGAGGAGGCACAAAGTCATCAGCTTCGCCACTCCCGTTGCCGCACTGCAGCCAGCCACGATCGTACCATTCGGATGACTGACTCTGCTCGTGCCCCCTGTCCAGCGCGCCCGACGTGGTGCCCGATACAGGCAGCAGAGCGCCTTCAGCAAGGCGCCGTCGAAGTTGTAGTGCTCTGCTGCTTCTCGAAGCTGCTGATGACTGACATTCTCGTAAAACTTGCGGATGTCATAGAAAACAGTAATGGCAGACAGCTTCTTCCTTCTGGCGTAGCAGGCCAGCATATTGTGCACGTACGCCGCCTTGTCGCAACTGGTCGTGGCATCTTTTCCCCAGAAGAACTTCGCGTCCACAGACGCCTCCCAACTCTTTACATACTGCCTCCTGCATCTGCTCCAAATGCGTGCCCAGAAACACAAGAGCCCAATCGGCCGTGTGCCTCCTCCTGGTTTAGGCAGAAAAACATTGATCGTGACCCACATGCGTTCACAGTGCGGATTGCGCTCCCAACTTGAGATAATCTCCTGCAGCCTCCGCACAAACACCCCATCCAGAAAGGTTACCAGCCTCATGTGAAAGTTGTCCCAGCCTAGCCCAGTAGATACACCAAAGGAGCGGCAGACCTGGACGATCTGGTCCTCCGAGACCTGGTCCAGCTTCCACGGGTAACTCCAATCAGACGGCGCTGCCTCCTGGGCCCTGTCGTCAGAGATCCACAGCTCTTCCCATTCCTCCAGCACCGCCGTGATCGCCGCAGCTCCCACCAGACCATGGGGCTTGCCTTTGGCCAGCGTGGGCGCCTCCTCTAACATCTTGGGCCTGGCGATCGCGTGTGCAATCCTGCCAGAGCCCTGAGCTGCAAGTTCACCAAACTCTCTCCAAGCTTTACTCCTGGCCTGTGAGTCTTTGCGCCTGCGCACCTCCACCTCCTCCGCAAGCACTGTCCGAAACCAGGCAGACAATTGACCTCCTCTCTTGGCCAGAGCCACCCACTTCTGGACCTCCTTAGCCTGCAGGGAGGGGGACTCCGAGATGGCCTCAGGGAGCCTCAAAGCCAGCAACTGCCTTTCACACCTCTCGGAGTGCTCTGGTCTGCCTGCTTTCGAACCAGGCGGAGCTGATGATGCAACACGTAGGGCATCCCATAGCCTGAGGGCACTCAACCAAGCTCTGGTGTCCGTCTCGTCGTGGCGCTCGAGAATAGCCTTCGCACAATCCACCAGCCTCTTCTTCTTGAGTACCACGCCCTTCTCCCTGCCAATGAAGAATCTCCTGTCCGAGATCGGAATCTCGAATAACTGCACAAGGTACTTCTCCGCCGCATTGAACCACATCGCTGCTGCATCCTCGACCGAGATCACAGGGGCGTCCAGATGCCACTCGTCAAGCACAGGTACCACAGGCTGTTCCGTGGTCGGGGTGAGGACGGACTCCTTGGCACCCCTCGCCTTCTTCCTGACCCTCCTCTTGGCCTCCTGGTCTGCCAGAGGAAAGGCTCTCGGGGGCGCCTCCACCCAGACGAAGGGCTCGTCACTGAGGCCCTCCAGCTTGATCTCCACGTAGCAGTGTGGCGAGATCGGCGTGTCCAACCTGGCCTCCACCGACATGGGGAAGGCGTCCAGAGCTTGGGAGCCAATGAAGTAGTCATACTCTTTGCCATTGCATGTTGGGGAACCAGGTGCGAAGATGGTGGCGGTTACCAGGTCCAGCCAACCTAGCTCCATGATCTCCTCAGGTTCAAGGTTCCAGTCGCCTCCCAGCAGGAACGGGAAACGCTGCGCCCCCAGGAAGGCGCTGAGGAACTCCAGTAGCTCCAGGTTCTCGCCCTTGGGGCCGATCGAGTCGACGCCGTAGACAGAGCCGATGATGATCCACGAGTGAGCGCCAACCGTCATGAGCCTCATCACCACCCGATGCTGCCACCTCTCAGGCACCTGGAGCTTGGACACCCCAATGCTCATGGCCGCAGACAAGCCAACTCCTGCTGAGAGAGATCTGGCCGATTCTCCTGTGCGCTTGGCAGTACCCAGCGCCAGCTTCCGAGAGCAAGTACGAATCCATTGATGGGCCCCTGCTTCCCCCGACTGGTCCAGCACGGTCTCCTGAATGCACAACACCTGCGGCATCTGGCAATGCTTCTCAATCCAAGGCATGGTGTTCCGAGCCCTTGGCCACGTATTCGCATTCAGAGTGCCCACTTTGAACGTGCCTTGGGCGCCGCGGTCCTCAGGAGGGAGCCCTTCCATCAGTGAGATGACCTGCTTCGGCTTCAGCGCTGCTTTAGCTTCCCCCTGAGGTTGCTCAACACTGACTCCCTTGGCTCGAGACCCAGCACGTGGCGACTGAACCTGGGAGGGCACTTCAGCCGAATATCGGTTGCCCCCAGGATTTGGCGATCTACCGCCAGACTCCCACGACGGGCTCTTGCAATCTACTCTGAGACAGCCAGGTTCGAGGAGCACCTGGCTGCCGCGTTCTGACGCTGAAATTTCTTCACTGCGAGCAACAAAAGGTTTGGGCGAGAGGGCCGCCAAGCTTTGGATGGGCTTGACGGCTGCGTTCTGAAAGGCTGACACGTACTCGGCGCTCTGACCAATCGCCGAATCTCGTGGCCACACTTCCTCGCAATTTAACTCTGAGGAGACCAGGCTCGAGGCGCACCTGGTCTCCGATCCGACAAAGCTGGTAGTCACCACCCGCGAAGTCGACGACGCCACCGCTGTCCAGGGAGTTGCCGACACCGGAGCCGACGGCGACACTGCAGCGCAGGGAGTGTGCAACACCGACGATGACCACGCAACCGAAGGAGACGGCCTCGACGATGCGCTCGTGGCAGCCAGGGATGACCAGGAACAAGGAGTCGCCGAACTCGACCACGTCGCCCCGACCTGTGTCGAGCTCACGCTGTGGCTAAAGCCCCGCCCGTTTAGCTGCTTGCACTCCACCGTCAGCAGCGACAAGAGAGCGAATGTCCACATGTGGGGCCGCCTTGCCCACCTCATCCACCGACTGCTCGGCAGGTGAGCACGCTGTCGCCGTCCCTGGGCTTGGCGAAGACCCTGCTCCAGACTCGATCCCACCTGTGGCTGTTGCTTGTTCCCCATCATCAGCAGTGCGTCGACGCTTCGATTGGAGACGCTTGAGATGCTCCTTGTGCTGGTCCTGGGCTGAGTTGGCCTTCTCCAGCGCTTGTCGAAAAACCGATCCAAGCACCTCTTGCATCTGCTTCGCCACGTCGTTTTTGCGATCCTCGAGCTCTCGAAGGTCATCTTCGGACACCTCGTAGCTGCCCTTGACCGCCTCCACGTCAATGAAATCGTCGCAAGAAATAAGGCTGGCCAGCTCCATCTCCCCGTCGATGAGCTTGCGCAGGCTGATGCTCGCGAGGCCGCTGGACTCCGTCGCTGGTGGTCCTTTGTGCTGGCTCTGGAGCTCCACCAGGGCGGCTGCCACCTCGCCATCGGCGGCCTGCAGCTCGTCGGCCAGGGTCCCCACCGTGACCGCCAGCTCGTCTGTAGCTCGACGCCAGCGCTGCAGTTTCTCGAACTCGCTCTTGAGGCGCTTCTCGAGCTTCTCCTGCTTCTGCTCAGCAGCCACGAGCCGCTGCCTCCCCGACGGCTTCGGGGGTGGAGCCGCCCTCTGCGCCAGGGCTCCATAGCGCGCCGCCCCCAAAGCGTCCCCAGCCTCAAGAGCCAAACGCTGTAGTTCGAGGGCCTTGGCCTGAGGAATCTCGGGAACAGGTCCAGGAGGGAGTGCCGAGGAGAGGTTGCCTGAGCCCTTGCCACCGAGAGGATCTCCCTTGCCGACTTTATATCCTTTCTTCCCCTTGCTCGCTCCCTTCCCCAACTCGTCCGACGACTTGGGGCCACCAGAGTCTTCCAGAGGTTGGGGACGAGTGCCGAGCTTTTGGCCACAATGCTTGCAGCACATCGATCCTTTTGAGTTCTTACGGCAACCGCAGTAGTGGCATAGAATTTCACCTTTGGGTCCAGCCACCGTCTTCCATACTTCCTCGTGCTTGGCTTGCTGGCTGTCCCAGGACTCCCACTTGGCTGCCGATGATGCCCCGCCCTCAGGTATGGTGCCCCCCCAGCGACGGGGCCTGGAGGAGTGAACCCACGGGCGACGCTCCCACTCGCCAGTGCCTGCAGGAGCCATGGCGCGAGAACAAGGAAAGGGATGTTGGAGGCTCGCGAACCCCTCGGCTGAGGGACCTCCTGACAGGTTGAAAGCAGCCGCGGACTAGCGGTATCCGTTTTTGCCAATGCGGGCTCAGCCCGCCAAAGCATGGGTCTTGAGCCAAAATGGCTACGGAAGAGGAGGAGGAGGAGGAGGAGGAGGAGGAGGAGGAGGAAGAGGAGGAGGAGAGGCTGGCGCACGGCGACCCGCCTCCGCGTGGGCCGCCCCTCGCTCCCCCCCCTCGGTGACGTCGCCGCGAGGAAGTGCGGAGTGCCCGAGCACTCCGCAGCTCGCCAGGCCAGGAGAACTCGACGATGCCGAGCACGTAAGGCGACGATATCTATACATATCCACTGCTCCCGGCCAGGCCAATCCTGGGCCCAAGAGCTGTGTATACGCCCTCCTGGCTTGGCCAGGGAGGCATATACACCGCTCCTGGGCCCAAGATGGGCCTGGCCAGGAGCAGTGGATATGCATAGATCTCGTCGCCCGAGCACGGCAGCACGGCCGCGAGAGCAGGAGGCTGCGCAGTCGCGCAGCACGCTCCGATCACACCCAGCGCCCTCCCCGTCCCCCCCACCCTTCCTCCGCCCTCCCTCCCCGTCCTGCCTGTCCTCCGGCCTCCCTTCCCTCCCCTGGCTCCCTCCCTTTCCCCACCGTCCCTCCCCTCCCTCCCGCCCGCCCCGTGAGAGGGGACGGTAGGGGCTGACTGGCTCATGGAGGGAAGCACCGAGCTGGAATCGGCGATACATCGCGGATCGGCGATACATGGCATGTTCCTGGGCGGGGCGGGCTGTCAGACCCATGTCGGCGATGAATGGGCGATGGGGGATCGCTGTATACCCCCTCGAGTCCATCTCCCCTGACGTTGCCCCCCTATCCCCCCTAACGCCCTGGCGTTGCCCCTCCCTCCCCTCCCTTCTCCTCTGCCCGGTCCGGCCAGGAGAAGGGGGGGCGGGGATGGGATGCACAAAGACGTACTGGTACTATATGTCATCCTTGGACGCGCGCGTCCGACCCGAACATATAGTATACCCATCTTGTAGTATATCGTTTCCCGAGCGGTGTGGCCATAATGCGCCAGCCACAACGCATATACTATAAGATTCCTCGGTGCGCGCATCGCCCCCGGGGGGGCGACGCACATATAGTATAAGTATGTTGGGGTGACGCCGAGGGGAGGGCCAGGAACGGCAAGAGGAGCACCAGTCGACGGGTGGAGCGCGACGTCACGACACGGTGACTCGAACGGGGCACTTCTAGGAGCCCGCGGGTCCGGAGGAGGCCACGGACGCCGCGGCCGCTCCAGAGCTTTAGAGGAAAGAGAACTATGCACATGCACCAATTCGGGCCAGGCCCATCCTGAGCCCAGGATCGGTGCATACGCCCTCCTACCTTGGCCAGGAAGGCATATGCACAGATCCTGGGCTCAGGATGGGCCTTGCCAGGATCGGTGCATGTGCATAGTTCTCTTCGCCCGAAGCTTTCTGGAGCTCTCTGGAAGCGTTCCAGAAGGCTCTGGAACGGTCGACGCTTATTCCATGACCTGGTCGGGCAAGAGCGGGAAACTCGGCTTTAGCCCAATGAGCTTATACTGGGCGAAGAGCAGGAAGGCGAGGGTGACGAGGAGGCGATGACGAGGACGACTAGAGAACGTGAGGATATCGAGGAAGAGCATGAGGACAACGAGGAGGAAACGAAACACAAGGACGGGGACGAATAGAACGAGGGCGAGTACGAGGAGTAATGCGGAGGACGATGACGACGACGACGACGACGACGACGACGACGGAGGACAGTAAGAGGCAATAGGAGAAGGACGTTCAAGCAGGAGAGGGTCCTGGTGGCGCTATCGGGCTACCCTGGGGGCTCCTGGCGCCGCGCGAGGTCGTCTTGGGGCCTGTTGGGGGCTTCTTGGGGGCCTCTTCGGTCCTCTTGTAGGCTTCTGGGGTCTTCTTGGGCCGTCTGGGCGCGTCGTGGGGTTCTTTGGTAGCTTTCTTGGGCCGTCTCGGCGCCGTCTTGGGTTTTTCTTGGGCTGTTTGGGGGCCTCCTGGGGCGCTCCCGGGGGTCTCTTCGGGCCCTCTTGGCCCGTCTTGGGGTTCTTGTGAGCTGTCTGGGAGCCTCCTGGAGCGCTCTTGGGGGTCTCTTGGGGTCCTCTTGGAGCGCTCTTGGGGCCCTCTAGGGCGTCTGTTGGGCCTCCTTTGGGTCGTTCGAAAACCCTCTGGGGACGATTCTAAAACGAAGTCGAGTCGGAGTCCCCTCCGGGGCCGGTTTACGAGGATGTCTAAAACGAAACGGCCATTTGTCAGAAACTAGGTCTCTTCGGGCTCTCTTGGGTCTTCGCGGCCATCTGAAAAACTTGTGGGAGGCCTGCTGGAAGCCTTTGGGGAGCCTCTTGGGGGCTTCTTCGGCCCTGTTGGACTGTCAAGGCGCGTCTCGACGGTATGGGGGGGCTTTCTTGGGCCATCTTGGCGCCTTCAAGGGCCATCTTGGGGTTCTTTTGGGCAATACGGGAGCCTCTTCGGGCGCTCTTGGGGGCCTCTTGGTGCCTCTCGGGGGTCTCTCGGGGCGCTTTGAAGGTGCTCTGGGGAACTTCGGGCGCTCTTGGAGACCTCTTGGGTGCCTTTTGGGGGTCCCGGGGGGCGCTTTCGGGGTCCTCTGGGGACTCCTCTGGGCCGTTTTGAATGTGTCTGGAATCGATACTACGAAAATGTGGTTTCGGAGTCCTCTCCGGAACCGATGTTTGAGGATGTCGCAAGCGAAACGGCAGTTTGTCCATAACCTTTCTAGACATGAACGGGCAGCGCGTGAAACCGAAGAGCTTGACAAAGACATGCGCCAACATCGAGGGCGACTGTAGCATGGGCGCTCTTCCCGAGCGTCCACGGGGGGCATCAGCTGGAGTTCACTACCCGCCCAAGTTCAAGCAAAGCCCTAGAATGTTGAACAAACACCCTGGTTTAGAATTACTTTCATATTTTGGAGGACCCGTCCGAAGGCAAAGCAAAGCAGTCTCGAACGCACTTGGCAAGACAATCGCCAACAACAGTATCAACCGTAGCGCAGGCGCTGTCCCCGAACGCCCACGGGGATATCAGGTGGAGCGTATTACCCGCGCAAGTTCAGATTAAGCCCCATAATATTGAAGACCACAACGGTTCGAAGTTGTTTGTCTGTTCGAAACCCAGCCGTACATACCCTAACCCAACACACCCTAATATGTATCGGCATGTCCATCATGCTCTGATGGTTTTGAAAACCCGTTCGGAGGCATGGTCGAGGGATGTCTCGAGCGAAACGCGGATATTCAAACGAAAATGTTGAGTGCCCATGGGTTTGTCAATACTTTCGCTTCTAAAGCCATCTTCGAAATCCTCCACGAACGCCTCCGAAAAATGTCGTACAACAGCGGCTTCAACATCTGATTTGTTGGATATGCCTCACGCCACATCTACATTTCCGAAGATCCGAAAGTTTCGCCAGCGATTTCACCATCTCCATGCCATGAGGATGCATTGGGCGAATCGCTTACTTGTAGCATGAGAGGTCTTAAACCAGTTTGTTTCAAAAAAAAGCTCTCTGTTTCGAGGGTGTCTCAGGCGAGGGCCTAATTTTCGAAGATCCGAAGACTTCGTTGCCCAGGCAGAGGTGTCGAGCAACGTCAGAAGCGGGCAGATCTCTTTCTGACAGTGCCTGAACGTTTCCTCGCAGGGCCGCAGTCGCTTTCCATGTCGCTATCGGGGGGCTCCTCTAGGTCCACCTCTTGATCCGGGCGTAGTTTCTTGGCAGGAGCCGCTTTTGTCTCGTCGGTCCCCCGGGCCCCGTGGGCGCGTCTGCCCTTTTCCTTGTCGGGGTTGTTTTCGCCCCAGGCGCGCCCGCCCGGCGGCTCGGCAGGCTAAGTGGGTGCGAGCGGCCGCTCCTCCTGATCTCCTTCTTCGTCTTCTTCTTCTTCTTCTGATTATTCGATCCTCTCGCCCGCCGCCGGGGTGGGCCCTTGGGGAGATGCAGGAGGCTCGGCCCTGGAGCTACCTGAGACCTGTCCCGTCGCATCCAGCTCGCGCTGACGGGGAGTGCTTCGATCCCTGTCCACGCTTGCCTCGACGTGATCTGTGCCCCGCCGCTGCCAGTGCCACTCCTGGTTGTAGATCTTGACAGTGTGACCAACGTCCAGATCTTCCCAAGCAGCGTCCGTTTCTTGCACTTCCGCATCGGTCAATGGAACGTAGTCTTCAATTGACGCGGCCGCACTTCCGCCGATGCCGTCGCCACGGTCAAGGCGCCAAGGCGTCTCGCCGTGATGCGAGCTGCGAGGTGGGCGGTCCATCGGGCAATTGCGGCGACGCCGAATGCGCGCCTGGGATGGGCGCATGCGGTGGCCCCTGCGAGCTTGGGTGATGTTTCGCTTGCCTGCCCGCCTTTCATGGCTCTCTATGCCGCGACGATCTGACGCCGCGATAATAAAGCCCCTGTCATCGCGAGAAACGCGCTTCAAAGAACACCAGTGGCGAATCTGTGCTTCTGTGCAACCCTGTTCGAAGGAATAGTTCACGTCGGCTTCGTTTAACTCCGCGCGCGGGCCGTGTTCGCCATTGGGCAAAAAAAACCTCTCGCCAGAGGATGGGCGCCCTTTTCCCCAGCCCGTCTCGCTAGAGCTCGCATTGCGCAAGGGCTCGGCGGACTGGGCGTAGCCTCTGCCCATGGAAAGGCCGGGCCAGCCCCGCGCGAGCGACTGCGACCTCGACCAGGGCCGCCCGTGTCCGGGCTATATTTGCCAGATTCCCCCGGTGCGCCTGCCTTGGCGCGGGCCGCTGCACTGCGGCCGCGGCGACTGCCTCCTCTGTCGACTGTATAAGGCCAATTGAGCCGATGGGGGCCTTTCCAGACATACCCCACGCCATGAACGTGTTGGCGCGAGTCTGTCCCCGCCCCACATCGGCCCGCTCCTCCCCCGCGAGTCCAAACGCCATTGGAGTCGGGAGCGGATGTGGCCTCGCCTGCTCGTGCACGAGCTGTTCCATTATTTCAGCGTCGGTGGCAGGTGCAGTCTCCGCGTCAGACATGCAATCGTCGTCGTCGTCGTCGTCGTCGTCGTCGTCGTCGTCGTCGTCGTCGTCGCCGTCGTCGTCCGACTCGTCGCCGCGCGTGTCCGCGCCGACGCGTGCCGATCCAGTCCTCGACGGGCGCGTCGCGCAGCTCCTCGACCCCATCGCGCGGGTGCTCGGCGCGGCTTTCCAGCGACGCGGCAGCGTCGGCGAAGTGGGCCATCAAAAACTACGCGCAACTTGATTGAAAATGATACCGGAGAAAAGCCCCAATCAGGGCTATAGGGCTATGGGGCTATTGAGATATAGGGCTCTAGAGTTGCAGGGCAATGCGGCGACTGGGCTATAGGGCGCCCCCAGGCACGCCCGGGCACCCGGGCGCCCAAGCACCCGGGCACCGGGAGCCCCCCGAGCGCCCGGGCCCCGGGCACCCCCGGGCACTCGGGCACCCGGGCGCGCAGCGAAAATCGGCGACAAACCTAGCCTAACCATATGAATTCGCTAGGACCCCTACAGAAGCAAGCTCTGGTTGGGGAATGAATGGGGTGGTCGATTTCGAATCAAACCTCTCGATATATCCGCTTCGGATTGCTCTGAGCCGAGAAATGCGGATCCGTCCCCAATGACCCTCCCCCGGCGCATTCTGCTTGGAAGTGTTTATCGCTTCCGCAGGTATTGCATGTCATCCGTTTGCCATCTTTGCCCATTGGGTTGAGCCTGCGCCCCTTGCACTTACTTGTAGTATGCCTGCGACCTGAACCACTGCGTATCTTGAAATTCGCAGTCGGTCAATCGAGCCGGAAACGAGGCTGCGCATTTGCCGTGCAATACGCGGGCGCGTCTACCACCCCCGCCGCGGCCCTTTCCTTCGCGGAAGAAGGCGGGACGTGCAGCCCGCCTCGGCCTCCTGGCTGGTTTCTTTATGGATATAGGTACTGCGCTGCTGTGTCATCGCCGGCGGGCAAGTCTGACAAGTCGAGGCTCTCGGCGCTGGCCGCGAAAAACCGCATCGGCATCCGTGACAGAGCCGAAGACGTCGCCATCTCGTTGTCTGGGGGGGCCCCAGGGAGCGGTCGTGCCAATAGCTGGCCGCTGACGGAAGCCCCGCGTTTGAGCCAAATGCCTGTCCGTTATTGTTGGCTTCTTGGCCTAGAAACTTCGTGGACTCAGTGGGCTCTCCATCGTTTCTCAGATGCTGTTCGGCATAGCTGCCGGGATGTCACTTACTTGGGCGTGGCAGGTGCCCGCGCTGCGTCCGCTGAAGATGCTCCCGATGTTTCCTGGGGAACGCTCAGCAAGGTGCCTGTGGCTGCGCATTCGCTCATGGAGTTGGTCGCGCTGTTGGGTTCGGGGCATCTGGTGATTCAGCGATTGAAGCAGCTGCGCTGCTAGGGAAATACCAACTCCCAGGGCGCGGAATCAGATCATACAAAGGATCTGGAAATTGGGTACGTTGATGCCCGCTGAATCTGCTTCCAGCCTGTCCATCTCGAACCGGGCCAATACTGAGTCGATGCGTTCTCCCCTCTCGGCCCTGCAGTCGACGAAGGCGGCTCCCGAGGTGAGCTGTCGTTCGCCTTCGAGGTTTTCAAATTTGGTGCTTACTGGGTACATGATCTATGCGACTCCATCGGTGCGTCTCCCCTGTAAGGTGACACCATAGTTGGTGATGGTTGACGGCGCCCTCATGGCTAGCGCCCTAGCCAAGCCCCCAAGGCCGCGCTGTAAGGCGGCGGCCTGTTGGGGTGGAGTCATGCTTCCGCTCGCGACGTTCAGCGAGGCGTGTACTTCGCGAGCGGAATCGCGGAAGGGTGCGTTGCCTGTGGGACCCAGAAGGGACCCCGAGTGCGCGTTTCATCTAATCCTCCTCCTCGAATGCATGTCGCAGCAAAACCTAGGCACGCCCAAATGGTTCCACATATAGCGACGTTGACATAGTGCATGGTCATGCTGTAGCTGGTGATGCTGGGTTTCGTACCATTGGGTGTTGTCGCGTCGATAGGGTTGCGACTGGGTGACTGGTCTGCTGCGGCCGTCAGTTTGCGGATGGGTATCGGTGCTTGAGTTGTGCGTGGCGTGTGGCCACGCGGCGGGGAGATGGGGGTGTAGGACTGTAGGTTACCAGTTGGTTGAAGAGCATTGGGAGCGTAGTGGCTGATAGCCGGCAAAAACGGGTACTCCACTGTGCTGTGGTAAGTGTTGCTGTACACTACATGTGATGTAGGAACCGGCCACGTAAACATGTATCCAGCCCGCTACCAAGTGAAGAATCAAGGTTGAGGACTTGACCATGAGGTAACAAACTGATGGCCCTACTCTTAAATATAACGCTGAAGACGTATCGAAGTATCCCACAACTCATCTCTTGATGGCAAGCACGTCGAGGGGTAAGAGATAAGCTGTGATATAGATAGAAGGATCATTCATAGACGTGGTCTTTGTTTGATACATTGATCCAGATTGAGTCACATTGCCGTGCAACTAGCATATATGAACGCGCCGTCTTGAGCCAGGACAGCGGCGGATATAGCGTTCGCTATACAATCCACCTTGAACCTCGTTTAAGATGGCCTCCGAGACGGCGACTATGTTTCCAAGATGCCTCCAAGACGGCCCCACATGTTCTCCAAAATGGCCTCAAGATGACCAAGATACCCGCAAGAAGCTTCCAAGACGGCCCAAGAGGCCTCCAAAAGGATATGCAGGAAGGCCTGAGGAGACAACACTCATCGATATTCATTGTTGAAGGATTGTTGTGCACTTGCTAAACTACTTTTCGGCCTTCCGACGGCCTGAGACGACCCAAGAGGCCCCCAAGGTCGCCCAAGAGGCCTCCAAGATGGCCCTACGACGGCCCAAGAGGCTCCCAAGACTGCCCCAAGAGGGCCCCAAGACGGCCCAAGAGGCCTCCAAGATGCCCAAAATAGTCTGCAAGACGGCCCTAAAGTGCCTCAAGGGGGCCCCAAGTCGGTTCAGAGAGGCTCTCAAGATGGCTCTCGACGGCGTCAGGCGGGCCAGGAGCTCCCTAAGACGGCCAAAGAGGTCCCCAAGAAGCCCCAAAGGCCCCCAAGAGGCTCAAGGAAATCCCCAAGAGGTCCCCAAGAGGCCCCCAGGAAGCTCCCAGGAAGCTCCAGGAGTGCCCCAAGAGGCTCCCAAGAGCTTACCTCCTCCTCCTCTTCCTCCTGCTCCTCCTCCTCCTCCTCCTCCTTCCTCTCATGATCCTCCCTCTCATCATCCCCCAATGTTCCCCCCCAGAGCGGCCGGGGGAACACATAGTCCGATAGATTTGCCAAGCTGGGGCCCAACGTTTAGCCACAGAGTTGCTTCCCAAAAGGCAGCGGGCGGCGGTGATTCGCCGTAGGCGCCTTCGACACAGATGCTGGGCGGAGAGCATCGTTTGACCGATCCCTGTCCCCACTGGCGTGGCCTGGGCCCCGCTGGCCGATATACCCCCCCCGCAGATGGGGATATAAGCTGTTCCCTTCGAATTTCGACGGACACATCCCAAACTGGGGTGGTGGGATGGTGGGATCGGGATGGGGATGGGAATAGGGATCGTGAAACGATACCGGCCGAATAGAAAGATAACTTACACGCACAAAAGCCGTGCAGACGCCCTGGGAGGTGCGGTGCGCCCGCATGTTCGCGGGGCGCGCCCGCTACTCGGCGCCCTCGACCAGTCCGCCGCCCCTGGGCTGGGCGCGCGGCGGAGGCGCCAGAGCTTGGGGGGGGCGGCAGGGAGCAGAGGGAGTCACCTCGCAGGCCTAGAGGTTGACACCAACACCAATTTCGGCGGTGTGCCTCCACCGAGGGAAGAAGATCCCGATCTCGGTGGTGGTGGTAATATTTTGGCTTCCAAGGTGGCCGAAACATTACCACCAACACCGAAATCGAGGAACATCTTCCCCCTGTGAAGGCAACCCCCTGTGTTGGTGTTTGTGCCCATTTCCAGGCCTCCAATCACCCTCCTTCCTGTTTCTGCTGCTCGCTTCTGGTTCTGCTCAGCCCTCGTGGGACCGGACCGTCCGGGCCGGCAGGCTGCTGCTGCGCGGCACTTCCAAAAAACCTCGCCCTTTTTGATGCCTACGCTGCGTGGCTCATCAAGCACAGGTGACATCAAAACTCAACGCCTCTCTCCGGCGCATTGCCTTGCAGGGACAATTTGCAAGAGGGAACGTCATGAGGCAACACCTGGGAGGTCTTCGTCAGAACTACCAAAGGCTACCAAGCCCGATTGAGGGGCCACCAAGCCGGATCAAGACGGAAGGAAGGTGACGGGCACATTGACGCTGCGCCAAGTGGGACAGCCGCACGCGCTGCTCCGTCTGCACCGCAGCGCTGCGCAGGACGGTGCCATCGGCAGCCGCGAGGAGCAGGGAGGAGGATGAAGGGTTCTGCATGAGCAGGCCCGTTTTAAAGCACGACAGCGCCGATTCTGAGTTGAACCTTCATGGAGTTGCATCGCAAGGTGCAGGGAAGGGACCGAGATATGGGTAGAATGCGCTGAGATGAAAGCAGGGGGAACAGGGTGTGCCAGAGGCGGGGGCGGCACGGAACAGAGAGAGGGGAGGAGCGTGTGCGGAATAGAAAGCATCTCACGGAAGCGTTAGCGCGCCCAATCGCTTGCGAAACGGACATGGTGCATCTCCCTCGCATGGCGATATTGGGCGCTATTGGACACTACTTGCTATTTGGGCGCTATTGAGCGCCATTCGGTACGGTGCGCTCGCTATTGGGCGGCACTCGGCGGTATACATCAATCCCAGACGAGCAGAAGCCCTCGTGACTCACTATCGAATACGGGAAGACGAAAAGGTTACGGTCGAGGATCGAGGGAAGGTGCGAAGAACTCTGTGAGGTTAAGTTTTGAAACAGCATACACTACATGACAAAAACAATCGAACCACATTACCAATCGATCGTCGTCATCAGCAACACCAGGAGAGCCCACCCAACGAGCTTGCATTGAGGGTGCCCCCCCCACCCGGACCCCCGCTCTTCAATATTGGCGCTGGGCGGCCCTAGCAAGGACGGTGCGCAACAGCACCAGTGAAGATGGGGGTTGAACAAGGGCTCCCAACTTCGCGCTTCGCGCTGCGCGAAGCGCGAAGCGCGAATAACTTCGCGCTCTCGCGCCGCCTCCCAGGGGAGAAGAGGAGGGTGAGGAGGAGTCGGAGCCGAACCGCGAAGCGCGAATAACTTCGCGCCCTTGAGGGCGCCCTTGTTGAAGGGGTCTGTGCCGGTGGGGTCCGCGGTGCCCAGCTCTTGCAGTGCTCCGCGCGGCGGCGGGGCGTGACCACGCCACTGCCCATTGGCCGTGCCAGTCAGCATTGAAGGGGGGGGTCAATGAAGGGGAACTGGGACACACAAATAAATACACACAAATGAAAATATCCCCCATATTTTCCCATATTTTCTGGGTTTTTGTTTTCCCCCCCACTTCCCATATTTTCCCATATTTTCTGAGAATCGCCGATTAATTGTGTCTGTGTGTTTTTTCCCCTCTTGGGTCAAGGGGGTCTCACGCTTCCAACCCCCACCCTGTATACCGTGGCGCGCTTGGAGTCGGCTTCGCGTTGAGCCACTGGCCGCGTCCACCCCCAGAGGCCCCGACCCTTCCGCCAAGCCAGCGAGGCAGCCGACGAGGCGATCCTCGAGGCGGTCCACGAGGCAGCTAATGAGTCAGCCAACGAGGCAGCCGACGAGGCAGCAGACGAGGCAGCCAACGAGGCAGCCGACGAGGCAGGAAATGAGGCAGCCAACGCGGCAGCCAACGATGCAACCAACAAGGCAACCGACCAAACAACCGACGAGGCAGCCAACAGGGCGGCCGACAAGGCAGCCACCGAGCCAACCAGGCAACCGGCGAGGCAACCACCAAGGCAACCGAGCAGGCAACCATCGAGCCGCCTCACCATGTGACCAACAAGGCAGCCGACGAGGCAACCGATCAGGCAGCCAACGAGGCAGCCGACAAGGCAGCCAACAGGGAAGCAAACAATCCAGCTCATGGGGCATCCAACTGCCAGGAAGCTCGCCGACGACGTAGCCAGAATGAGGCGCTCTAGATTGGACCTCCATTGCGCGCCCGCGCCCTGCATCTGTCGACTGCGGTCTGGAGCAGCAAGGTGGCAAAGAATCGCACAGGGGATCTGCAATTCGGATTTCTTCTCCTGCGTTCTACGAAATCCAGACACATCTGGCGCGTGCACTAGTTTAATTTCCATTCTATCCACCGTAGAACGGGATACATGTGGGGAAGGGGTGGCTGCCTGGCGATGACCTTGCCTTTTGTCGCTGCCTGCGCGATCCAACATGCAATCTTCGCCAGACGCCCATCATTGGCCCGGGTCGACCCCTTTCTGAACGCGAGGCGATCATCAATGGAAGCTCTCCGTATAACAAAACACGCTCGAGAGATCTGCAACGCTCCTGAACGAATCGCCAAACAACGCCGGACCGCAATCACAGACTCCAGTTCACGCGCCCACGCCCAGAATTCAGACAGGACAAACACGACGGACGCGCCCCAGGGGGCCACGTGGTCTCGTCAGGGTCTGCGCGCACCTCCGCTCTGCCTGACCTCCCAGAAACTCAAGAAAGTGGCGACGATTGCGCAGTTCGCAGCCCCCAAAAGGGAGTCACGAGGTCTCGTCTGGAGCTGCGTTCACCTCCACTTCGCTGGCTCTGGGACCCTTTGTTCCACTGGTCCTCGCCCTTGTCTTTCAGCCTCTTCAGCTCTGCAGTCGCGCGGTGCGCCTGGGCGCCCAACTTCCCGGTAGTGAGTGCCTTCGCCAACGGGAGCTTCGCAATCCATTGGCCCCCCGTGCCCAGCGCCTGATGGCCCGCTGCGGCGGCAGCCTGGCTCGCCGAATCGTCGGCGTCGGCGAAGACGGGGGCCGGCGCTGCCTGCCCTCGGCCAGCGATCGACTGGCGCGGGCCCCCGCTCCCTCTCGCGACGCTCTTCGCAACCCGCCGCTCGGCAGCGCGATTCGCGAGGCTGACCGTCGTCGCCGACAGGGTGCCCTCGCTGAAGTGCACGGGGCGTGGGTCGGAAGTGGCGACTCGCCGTCTCCCGTCCGCGGGCCCGTGGACTCTCCAGAGGCAGCCGAGTCGGTGGAGAAGGGGGCGGTCGGCGAGAGGGGGGCCGCATCGCGTGGCGACGCGCCCCCGCCGCCGAGGCGCCGCGCCCCCATGCCGACGCCCCCGCGGGTCCTCGGGTCTGCCAGTGAACTAGACAGGCCAGTCGACGGAGTCTGCTCGCCCACGCTCCACTCGAGCGCCCACGGGCCCCGGGGGGCGAGCGCGCGGTTCTCCTTCTTCATGAACACGCGACCCTTCTCCGTCTGAACCCACATGCTGATGCGCAGCGTGCGGAGGAAGGACCACTCGACCGTCCACATGAAGAGCCATGCCCTTTCGGTCTCTAAGCTGTCCTCCGAATGCAATGTCATAGGGGGGGGGGGGGGGGGGGGTCGGTTCCCGTTCCTCCTGTTGGGCTGGAGGCCGCGGTGCTTTTTCAGATCGGAATCCGACATGGAGAGGGCCTTGTAGTTCACTTTCACGGTGCAGACCTGGCGCTGGGCCACCTCCTCGGGGAAGAACGGCCTCTGGCAATTGTTATTTCTCTGCGTCTTCCCCTGGTTTCATCGCAAACCAATGATCATCGTCGTCAGGTGTCCAAACGAAGTGGGGTTAGCGCATGGGCGGGGAACCTCTAGCCCTTTGTTTTGCGCCTTGCGCTGTTGCTTTCTGATAGCTTTGGCCCAATTGCATACTGAACAATATGGGCTCTTGGGAATGAGTTCGAAGGTGCGGCAGGGGGGCTGCGGCCTTTTTGAGCCGCTCGGAAAGGGTCTCCGACACCTCAACCTCCGCATCGTCTGGGTCTATATCTGGCGGTGCGTCGACGTCGACTAAGTCGACACCGTCAGCGTCTCCAACTTCACCCTCCTCGGGTCCTGGGGCCGCGTCGCACGCACTGGAGTCCAGTCCTCGATTCATTCCATAAGGAAGATATCCAGAGACTCCGTGCCCGTAAGGGTTTCTGTATGCGGCGGCACAGGCCTCGGCTGTGCCGGGCTGCTCGTCGGACTGGCCGACGGCTTGACCGTGGCCGGGCAAAGTTGAAAGACTTGAAGGCAACGATGCCGGTCGGCGTCCGATTCCAACCGCTTTCACTAGCCTTTTGAGGCGAATAGTAGAAGTAGGTGATGGTATCCGCAGAGTCGATCGATGACGGAAAGACAGGCGCGATCTCAGTCGGCCGTCCATCAGCGTAGCTGTGGGTACCAATAAACTCATGTGTATGCAGGTCTATGGTCACGCGAGTCTGGACAGCATGGGGCGGAGGGCCTCCCGCCGATTCCACATTGTCCAGGAATGCCTTGGCGCCTGGCGTCACGCAACACCACCGCTCGGGGGGTTCGCCCCCTCCGGCGGCAAACGCGCACATAAATTGACCCAGCGCCTCTTTGCCTGATAGGGTCAAGTATGGTATCTTGCCCTCAACGGCCAGGTCCACTCTTTGATCATTGGGCAACAACAAGTAGGGTCTTTGGCCTGCTGGCCAGAAGAAGCTAAAGCCGTGATCCATGCACCGCTCTCCTACCGAGATCACGCACGGGGTCTCCGGCATGACTGGAGCATTAAAACAACTACCCTTAAATTTTGGGCATGCGATGCGAACT